TCTTCTGTGTCTGTGTTAATTGGTTTCCCTTTTCTTTGTTGAAGAGGGTCTGTGCAATCCTTCTGCCTAGTCCGCCATCTTGCCCCGCCTACTTCAAATATCTTTAAGGCACAAAAATTTCCATATCCCTAGTGGGATATTTAAGGAGCTTTGGTGGCATAGTGCCTAAGACATTTGACTTCTCACCCAGAAGGCTGGTGGTTCAAACCCACCAGCCAGACCTCAGAAGCTTTATTTAATTTTTTTAATTGCTAGTTAGGACCTACACTGTCCTCAACAATGAAATTAACATAAATCATCATTAGCAAATGACAGATAGTGGTCTAGAGTAGAGAAAGGGCCACCGGTGTCAATAATGGCAATTAAGATCTAATCAATCACTTATGGTTTATATCCCAATTCAAATGAAAGCCTCATTGATGTAGATGTTAATGTATTTTTTTATTATTTTAGAATGAAACTACCTAATATCTGTGTCATCCTCCCCATCTCCATTCACCACGTCCAGTAGTCTGTAGAGGGCAAAGGAGGAGAGACCAAGGACTGTCATTTGACTGCTCCTTTGGTTGACCAGATCTTTTCCTCAAACCTCTTTTCCCTTTTGGTTATTCTATGTGAGCCACCAGCCTCCTGGGAGAATGGAACCAACCTATTAGTGCCATCAACAATGCCCAGAGTATTGTTGCTGAATAAAGACAGCTGCAGTAACTCCCACACAATGTATGTTGCCAAGGACTGGGTAAAATATGCTCTCTCACTTTGTTGGTAACCAAGGTGTTCCTGTGATGCTGTGGGCCTGAGGGAGGAGAAGGTAGGGAAAATTTCTTGCTAGTTAAGAGACAGGTATTGATTTGGGTAAAGAGAACAGCAATATAATAAAAGCGTGTGACCAGCACAGTATCACTAAGGAAAAGTAAGACACAAGGTGCACAAGAGGTACAGACAATAAAAGTAAATACTATTATATACAAAATATTGCATTATCAGTGATAGCAAACATTAATCTATGAGTGGATAAATAGGTGGACAGACAAGAAGATCAGATATGGGAAAGCAAATGAGAATATACCAACAACCATACATTTAATTGGGCAGACAATATTCTTACATGCATATTTATATGTCCTATAAAAATGTCCATATCCAGTATAGAGCTAACAGGGGAAAAAATTTGGATAACTTCTTAGCCACAACTAAGAACCTTGAGGGAGTGAGTTGCTGAACCTACAGGTTTGGGACCACAGTCACCAGAAACATCAAGCTCTACTGACACAACATAGGACACAAAAACATTGTTCTACATCCTACTTCGGTGAGTAGCAACTGGGGTCTTAAAAATTTACAAGTGGCCATCTAAGATGCAACTATTGGTCTTTCCTCATCTGGAGCAAAGAAGGGAGAAGAAAATCAAAGATGCATGGAAACAGCTGGTCCAAAGGACTAATGGGCCATGAGAACCTTAACCTATATGACCCTAAGACTAGAAAGAACTAGAAAGTGCCTGCCTACCACTGCCAACCACTCTGAAAGGGAGCAAAACTGGAGAGCCTGGATAGAGTGGGAGAAAAGTATAGAACAAAATTTTTAAAAACATAAAAAAAGACCAGGATTTCTGGTCAGCTAGAGATTGGTGAAATCCCTGAGACTATGGCCCCTAGTTACCCTTCAGTCCTGGAATTGGACTCATTCCTCTGGCTAACTTTCCTCCAGATAATAGACAGACCTAAGACCTGAGCAACTACACCAGGGAGATGCACTCCTTAGAACAGTCAACCACAGGAGATCAGAAGGACAACATTTGCACAGTAAGAAATGCATAGGCAGGAATGACACAGGAAATGGTGGACCACAGGGAGGAAGTGGAAGGAGAGCTGTTACATTGTGGGGATTGTAATCAGTGTCAAAACAAAATATATGAACTGTTGAATGTAAAATGAATCTGCTTTGTAAAATTTCACCCAAATCCCAACAGAAAGTTTAAAAAAAAAAATGAATGAAATAAAGGCGCTCTGGTGATGCAGTGCCTAAGGCATTTGACTGCTAACCAGAAGGCTGGTTGTTCAAACCCACTAGCTACTCCACAGAAGGAAAATGGGGCAATCTACTCCCATAAGGTCCTATGAATAGGAATTGACTTGATGGCAGTGGGTTTGTTTTTTCCCAGTCTGATGTCTCACATAAGGATTTGTCAACTTAGAAATGAAGTTCACAGGCTACAGAATTTGTAGCTAATGAATAAAAAAGACACACACTATCTTCTAAACAATAGCAGTAGCTCTGGATCTGTAGTAAACTAGTAATAGTGGCATAATCTTAGGGATAATTCTTACTTGTTCTTTAAATTTTTATTGTGTTTCAAATTCTTATTTGTCCTCAGCTCAGATGCCACTTCTATGAAAAAAGCTTACTTTGACTGTCCCTGGGGGAGAGGCCACTCCTATATGGTCCTTGTACTGATCTCTAATGTTCCCTTATCACATTGTAATGTGATTATTTACTCATCTGTCAGTTTGTTGTATTGTGGTGGCTTGCATGTTGCTGTGATCCTGGAAGCTATGCCACCAGTATTCCAAATACCAGCAAAGGTGGCCGTTTAAACCTGGACAGATTTTCAGCTGAGCTTTCAGACTAAGACAGACTAGGAAAAAGGGCCTAGTGATCTACTTCTAAAAATAATTGGCCAGTGAAAACCTGTGAAGAGCAGAGAACATTGTCTGATATGGTGCTGAAAAGATGAGCCCTCAGGTTGGATGGCATTTCAAAATCTATCCTGAACAAGGTGATTAGTGACAGGATAATATTCATAACCCACAGGAAGGCCAGTTAATGCCACCACTACTCAAATTTATGCACTAATCACTAAGGCCAAACATGAAGAAATTGAAGACTTTCATCAACTCCTGCAGTCTGAAATTAATCAAACATTCAGTCAAGATGTGCTGAAAATTAAGTTACTGGAATGAGAAAGTTGGAAACAAGAAGGATTGGTAGTTGGAAAACATGGCCCAGTGATAGAACATGCCCAGCATTTCTCAAGCTGAAAGAACTGAAGAAAAATTTCAAGCCTCAAGTTGCAATATTGAAGCATTCTCTCTCTCTTTTTTTTCTTTTACTGTGGTTTGGGTGAAAGTTTAAAGAGCAAATTAATTTCCCATTCAACAATTTATACACATTTTGTTTAATGACATTAGTTGCAGGCCCTCAATGTAGCAGTGCTCTTCCTACTTGCTCTCTGGGTTCCTGGGTTCAATTTGTCCATTTGCATTTCAGGGTCTTCATTAATAATCCTTGCTATTAGATTAGATTTTGTCAGAATATTCCTGTTTTGTTTTTTAATGATGACCTCAGTTAGGAAATTAAGTACAGCTGCACTGGGAAAAAAAAAAATTCATTGTACAACTGAAACCATTCGACTGTTTCAAGTACCTTTGTTGTTTTTGGGTGATGTTGACTCGATTTTGACTCATAGTGACCCCTTGTGACAGAGTAGAACTGTCTCATGAGTTGTCTTGACTGTAATCTTTATGCGAGCAGATCATCAGGTCTTTCTCACACAGATCTACCAGGTGGGCTGAAACTGGGTGGGTTGGAACCACCAACCTTTTGGTTAGCAACCGAGCATTCAAGTTTTTGCACCATCAGGTTCCTTTTCTGGTAGGTGTCTTTGAGTCCACTCTGACTGATAAGGAACCTATAGGACACAGTAGAATGGCCCTACAGGGTTTCCTATGCTGTAATCTTTATGGAAGCAGATCCACCAGGTCTTTTCTTCTGCAGACCCACTGGGTAGGTTGGAACTGACAACTTCCAGTTAGCGATGAGTCCTTAACCATTGCACCACCAGGGCTCCTTCTTCAGGTATTAAGCTCTTTCCTGAGTGAGCTTAGAGTTATTGTAATTTGTTGCTGCACAACAAATTATTCCCAAATTCAATGGTTTAAAACAATAAGCATTTATTAGCTCACAGAGTTTCTGATCAAGCAGTTTAGCAGGTTGATTCAGGTTGAGAGTCTAATAAGTTGCAGTCAAGCTGTCCTCAGGGCTATAATCATGGACAGTCTTGATTGGGCTGGAGAATCTGCCTCCAAGGTAGCTCACCTACACAACTGGCCAGTGGGGGCTGGTTGTTAGCAGGGACCTCAGTCCCTTCCACTTGGACCTCTTCATAGTGTTGGTTTAGTACTCTCACAACAGCAGCTGGCTTTCCCCAGAGCTAAAGACCTGAGAGAGAGCAAGAAGAAAGTCCCACAATGTCTTTTAGGTCTTGATTTCAGATTTACACACTGTCACTTTCCCCACATTCTATTTGTTAGAAGCATATAATAAATCCAATTTTGCACTCAAAAGGAGGGGATTAGGTTCCACCTTTTTAAAAGATGAATATCAAAGAATTTGTGAACATATTTTAAAACCAGTACAGTTAGTTGGAGTCTCTGGTGGTGATGATGGTAGTGGTTAAGGACTTGGCTGCTAATTTAAAAGTTGGTGGTTTCAGTCCACCTAGGGGGCCTCAGATGAAAGGTCTGCTAATCTGCTTCTGAAAGGTCACAAACATGAAAACCCTTTGGAGGGCAGTTCTACTCTGGCACACATGGGGTCACCATGAGTTAGAATCAATTCAATGGCAACTGCTTTGGCTTTTTCTTTTTTTAAAGTCCAGTTGGTTATCAACTAAATAACTCAAAATGCTTAAATATACACAAGACTGGGCATTCACATATGCCTTTGTGCCTTTTTTATTAAAATTTGTCATAACAATTGAAATTTTCTAATGAGTGGCATAAATTGAAGCAGGTACATGCTTTTGATGTCAGTCCTCAGTTTCTCTCCATTTTTTTCAGGTCAAGGAAACAAACAATCCCTGACATTTATATCTGCAACCTGGCTGTGGCTGACTTGGTCCACATCACTGGAATGCCTTTTCTTATTCACCAGTGGGCCCAAGGAGGACAGTGGATATTTGGAGGGCCTCTCTGCACCATCATCACATCCCTGGACACATGCAACCAGTTTGCCTGTAGTGCCATCATGACTGTAATGAGTATGGACAGGTAAGTGAAAAGGCTTTATTAAGAAAGATCTTACTGTATGTGGTAGTTCTGTTTGTGTGTCAACTTGACTGGGCCTGGTTGAGTGTCTGGGCAGCTGGTGGTAGTTAATCTCCATGAGGAAACTGGCAATCAACTCCATGGTGGGCTCTACCACAAGCAGCTGGGTAACTGCCTTTGGGTATGTGGTCTGCTTCCTATATATAAAGAGAAGCCTTTAGGAATGGTCTCTAGCCTACAGCACATTTGGATCCTGCTTGTAGCTGTGTCATTGCTCAGCAGCTTGCTCTGCTCTGCTCTGCTGACCTTGGGACATACAATGGACTTAAGTGAATGGCTTGCTGTGTGCTTTGGTAACATTGGGACTGTGCCTTTTTATTTGCCAACCTTGGGGCTTCTCAGCCTCAGCAGCCAGCAGCTGTCTGAGTGAAGAAATGCCTCTAGCTCCAGTGGGCCAGGAGCAGGAGGCAGAGCTGGACCCCAAGGTTGAGGGGCTTTCACCCAGCCCCTAGAGCCTGGCACTTGGAACTTGGACTTAAAGCCTCCAAATTGTAAGAATAAACTCCTGTTTGTTAAGGGCATCCCATTTGTGGTATATTTCTTGTCAGAGCAGCACTAGGTAACCAGAACAGAATTGTGCTTTTTGGGCAGGGTTTTTCAGCAGAGTGGGTTGTGTTTGGTATTAATCGGCAGAAGCGGAGACCAAGGAAATGGAAGCAGAGCTGCCTTAGCCTGAAAGGGTAGGACCATGGCCTTTGGGGGTGGAACAACCACAGCCCCCTAGGTTTCAAAGAGCCAGGCCTTTACCAACTTGGTTCTGGACTGTGGGGCTGCTCATTCATGTGAGCCAATGGGATGGAGCCATAGCTGCTGCCCAAGAGTGAGAGGGCAGGGCTGCCATGCCCAAGAGGGAGAGGAACAAGGCCCACCAGGCCAAGGGGGTAAGGTTGCCAGTCAGGAACTAGGGGACGAGCTGCCCAGTGGAGGAGATCTGTACAGATGCCATGCAGTGAAGATCTGTACAGGTGCCAAGTTGACAAGGGGTGGAATTGTGATGGTTATGTTTGTGTGTCAACTTGGCTGGGCCTGGTCGAGTGACTGGGCAGCTGGTGGTAGTTACTCCCCATGATGAGACTGGCAATCAACTCCATGGTGGGATCTACCACAAGCAGCTGAGTAGCTGCTTTGGGTATATGGTCTGCTTCTCGTATATAAGAAGCAGCTTTTGGAATGGTCTCTAGCCTATGGCTTGGACCTTGCATGTAGCCATGTCATTGCTCAGCAGCCTGCCATGCTCTGCTGACCTTGGGACTTAAAATGGACTTAAGTGAATGGCCTGCCGTGTGGTTTGGTAACATTGGGACTGTACCTTTTTACTTGTCAACCTTGGGGCTTCTCAACCTCAGCAGCCAGCAGCTGTCTGAGTGAAGAAATGCCTCTAGCTCCAGTGGGCCAGGAGCAGGAGGCAGAGCCGGACCCCAAGGCTGAGGGGCTTTCACCCAGCCCCTAGAGCCTGGCAGTTGGAACTTGGACTTAAAGCCTCCAAATCGTAAGAATAAAATCCTGCTTGCTAAGCCATCCCATTTGTGGTATATTTCTGTCAGAGCGGCACTAGGTAATCAGAACACTGTAATTCAGAGTCACCTATACTCCTCCAGTGTCTTCCAATTTAAGCAAAATCAGGGCTAATTTATAACAGCAAAGCTTCTCTTCCTTTGCTTATGTCATTGTAGGACTGATTCCTGAAAAATAATTTTCATCTTTCACAGAGGTCTATTTTTAATGGAAAAATTCTTTTTTTTTCCTCATCAGTTTATTTTACCTTAGTTTTATTTACAGTCGCCTGTAAGAGAAAAATAAAATCACAAAATCATGAAATGTTAGAAACCAGAATGAACTCCCCCTATCATTCTTGCAATAAGGAAACTGATGGCCAGGGTTTGCTAGAGTTATGTGGAGAGTAAGTACCAGAGCAACAAACCAAACTAGAGCTCCTCACTCTCTAAACCTAAAACCAAACCAGTTGCTCTTGAGTCAATTCTGACTCATAGCAACCCTTTTTGATCAAGTAGAACTGTGCCATACAGTTTCCAAGGTTGGAAGACTTTACAGAAGCAGAGTGCTACATCTTTCTCCCTGGGTGGTTTTGAACCACCCTGGTTTTGACTTTTCACTTAGCAGCCAAGCACTTGATACTGCATCATCAGTGCTTCTAGCCTCACTCCACATCCTGGGCTAATTTTTTTCACTGTCTCACACACTCAAGTTACCACCAGCAGCTGTCTCTCTCTAAGTAATCAATGGAGTAGATATGGGATCTTGTGCAGCTGTGAAGAGATTGCCCAGTGCCAAGAAGGCCGTTTTTATACTCATCAATATAATTGGCTAATGAAAATATTGCCATTTTGTATCATATCTAATGTGTCCTAGAATGTACTTTAGCCATGTTTGCCAACCAAGTAAGTTGCTGATATTCATAGTGATGATAACAATGGCTTCACTTATGGTAGCACCAGTGAGTGGCAAAGACTGGTTCACATTCGGGCCATCTGACTCTAGAGAGGCAGAGAGCTTGTATCGACCTCTCTATGAAGCCTCTGGGAAGCTTGAGAGCTAAGATGTGTCCTGCATCATCCAGGTACCAAGACCTCCACACCAGGTCTTAGCAGCCATCCCCATATAGAAACAGGCCCCAAAGACAAACATACTTCCTACAACAGTAATATGCTGTCAGGAAGAACAACCCACTTAAAATCTCAATCCACCTTCTACTTCCAAGTGCATCATCCCCCTAACTCAACTCTTCTGATACCCCTTACCCTAATCTACTTCTTTTTCCTTTGCTTTAAATATATTACATAATTTTTTTTTTATCACTGTTTACTTAGCTACCCCTCTTTCTAAAAAATTGACTGAGCGAGATAACAGGAATTCTTATGTTTTGATGAGCTTTCATTAAGTAGGTCTAACAAAAACTTGGAGAAAATTAGGTGATCATTAAAAACCAACTTTTGAGGCAGTAGTGGTTCAGTGATAGAATTATCACTCCCACAGGAGACCCAGTTTCGATTCCCAGACAATGCAACTCATGCAAAACCACCACCCATTTGTCAGTGGAGGCTTGAGCGTCACTGTGATGGCGGACAGGTTCCAGCAGAGTTTCCAGAGTAAGACAGTCGAGGAAGAAAGTCTTGGTGATTGACTTCCAAAAAACACTCAGCGAAAACCCTTTGAATCAAAGCAGTCCAATCCACATGAGATCATGGGATGGCACAGGATCGGGCAATGTCTAAGTCTGTTTATGGGGGTTCCCATGAGTCAGAGGCCAACGTGGTGTCAGCTAACACCAACAAAACCATCTTTTACATTTATTTAATTTCTATTAACACTGCTTTCCACCCTCAGCCCTTAGTAAAACTGTTTTCTTATATCTGCTTCTCTCTGAAGCTCAGCTCTTTTCATCTTAGTTTTCAATTGGCTCTAAAAATTTCTTGAATTTGCTGGAGATTGATGTTATGATTTCAAGTTATATTGATGATGAGCCTTTTTCTGGATCTAAAAGAAAATAATTAGGAAAGAAAAAGAAAAAAACTCTTCCTCGTGATATTAACCCATTCCTTCCCTGCAGCCTCTAACCTAAATTTCCTGTATAATTTGCATTGTCTGAACTACTCACATTCATTCATCTTCACTGTAATTTCTATGAACTGACTCTCCAAGAG